GGGGGGGGAGGGGGATTTTTTGCGCTTGGCATATTTTTCCGTGCACTCTTGCTCGTCGAGCAGCACCAGGACTGCTCCGCTGGAGAGAGTTTAGCGATTGATTAGATGGAGCACGAGGATACTTAGACATGCAGATAATGAAAAGACTTGATGGTTGTCCGATATGGTGTTAGCCGCCTTCAGCCCTAGTGGCTTTTCCCGTGTGACGGCCATGGCTTGCCCTGCATTCTCGCGTGTGAAGAAAGCACAGGTCGGCTGCCAATTATAGCGCCGAGGCAGCCAATGGGGAGGCAGGACCCCGCCTGGCCTTGTCATGAACAGCCCGGCAGCGTGGGTTTACGTACAAGCATGTGGCGGCAGCCCGGGGCCCGCAATGTATCACCAGAGCTGCTCTCTCGTCTCTGGCGCTGCTGGCCGGGCTTCCTTCTCCAAAGCGACGGGGCAACCCCAGGCGCGCGCGCGCGTGCAATGGGCATGACGGAACAAGAGCAATCGGACGCTAGTGCATGACCTACAGCACGACCAGGGCTCTCAGCATGATGTCATACCAGACGACTGGTTCGCTTTTTGCGGGTAGTGGGCCCACGCCTGCTGCCTGCACCTGCGCCTGCGCCTACGCCTGCGCCTGCGCCTGCACCTGCACCTGCGCCTGCGCCTGCACCTGCACCTGTTCGCTGGGCACAGCCCACGTATACATTGTCGTTGGCGCACCAGCCGCCTTGCCCCCTTCGGGCCTTGAATGCGAAGTGTCACTGACAGGTCACGTTGCACCGCCACAAGTCTCCGGCTCGGCTTGACGTGGCGACTCAGGCTTGCTCATGCCTCTGGTCGCATGGCTTTTTTTTCCTCTTCCTTGTTTGCAACTACACACGGCGCATGGGCATAGCAGCGTGCTTGGATAGAGCCGCACTGGCATAAGCCGCCCGTTACTACATGCGGACCCGCGCTTACCAAGGCGCGACTGTCATGGTGTGGCGCCATGAATGGTGCCCTTTACCCCAAGCATGTGCATGTACGCCGCCCGCGTCGAGCGTATTCAGTCCTCAGCGCGGGTCGAGGTTCCAAAGCTTGTCTTGAATCCGACGACGCGCTGCTGCGCCCAAGCCCATCCGCCGACATGACTTACGCGCACGCTGTTACTAGTCGTTAGCTCCACGCCCTTTTTCCTTTCTAGAACCTGATCAAAGGCGACCCGTCGGCTCGGGACCGCAGGAGTCGATGCAGACGAGAGCGACCGAGGACGACAAAGCCAGGCTGATCCTGGCGCTGCCCAAGATCAAATCGCATGCTGACTGGTAGGTTTCGGGCATTCCTGACTAAAACGACAGGGCCTGCAAAAAAAAAGGCCCCCTTCTCTCAACCACCCCCCCCCCCCCCCCCCCCC